GACAAACTTTTCGGGAACGAGTCCATGAGCAACACTCCTACTCAAATTATTTTTATTACCGTTAATTCGGAGGCGCATTTATTTTAATAATAAATAACGTGGTTTCCCGACCACTAGTCCCGGACATAACAAATAAAAATTGGTGGCAGCGGTGGGATACACGAAGGCCCACCTTGTAAACTGCTTAGTCAATCAATTCCTTTCAACCGTTTTAAGGTCGATTCAAGCTCGTTTTAAAATCGAGCGCGTATAAACATATTTTTATCCCATTAACTTAAATTCTAATCGACGCGTAACTCTTTCTCGATGCTTTCGTTGAGCCGACCGCGATCTGAAAAATAGAATTTTGTTAGTTCAGAAGTCATTTACAGAAAGATCTTTTATCTGTTCTACATTATTTGTGTCATTTTATACTCATCTAGGTTTAAGACTCGTCGAAACTCTCACCGGGGGTTAATTTCTCAATTTTTCTCTTGCATTATCGACGTGTCTTTATCATGGCCAACCGCGGAAATATTACTTTGAATGGACAAGTAACAGCTGCAGATTACGATCCTGAATTTGAAAATGCAGAACATCTTTTTAGAAATGTTCCTGCTTTTTATGGGAATAAACATGACAGAGTTACTTTTGATATTTTCGAGGAAGAGGTTCAATATGTGATCCATGCCGTGCCTAGAAGTAAAGAGGGTTTATATATCAGTGCCCTCTGCTCAAAAATTAAGTATCCTGCCAGATCAGAAATCGAAGGAAAAACATTTACCTCAATTTTAGATTTATTAAAAGATTTAGGCAGTAATTATAGACTCGAGAAAACTGAATTAGGAACTCGAGAAGAATTGAGGGATTGCCCATGGTATGCAAATGAAGCTGTGGAAGATTTCTTGCGCAGACTAAAAGAACTTCATAGGGCCGCCCTTCGAGAGGCAATTCGAGTACATGGAGAGGATTCTAGGGCTCTTCTTGAGCAGCAATTAGATTCAATCGCCGTAGCTCGTTTTTATTCATTATCTCCACCATATTATCAACACGCACTTTATCATGCGAAATGCGCAACGTTAGAAGATGTAGCCAATACGGTCAAGAAATCTAGAGCATACAAAAATCAGTATACTCTTAAAACTGCTAACACTCGCTCTGAAGGATCCTCATCAGGACCTAGGGAGTCGCGTAACGTACAGCCTTATGATTCACGGGAAAAGAGCCCAGGTTACAGATTTCACCATGTGGTTCCCATGAGCCAAGGGTATACGGACAATGGACGTTATCGTTCCACGTCACACCATCGGCGTTATCAACAATACACTATTCCTCATGCCGACGAAATTGTGCCTGATCCACAAGAACCCCCTTTTTCACCAAGGAGTCGATCACGTCACCGAGCTATCCCGGGAATGGATCCCCCAGGGGAAATAAATAATCAGGAACCCAACCCGTTAGTTCGCGTAGTTGAGGCCCCACCTGATCCTTTTAAAAAAATAGAGTCCCAAATGAATACGTTAACAACGGTGATTAGCAATT